GGAGGAGGAGGAGGAGGAGAAAAAGAAACTATATCAGTAAGTAGTAGGGTTTAAAGTCAGGTGTAGCTTTAACAAGTGAGACCTTTCCATCCAAGTAAACTGCCTATCAAATTTATTCTTATAGTCATTTAATCAAAGATAAATGGCTATAAGAGAATTTATCATTAAATTAGAGAATTTATCACCAGTAGAGAATCATTCCAGCAGCCAAATCTACATCCAATTAATTAGGCTAAGCAAACAAAGCAAGCACAAATAACTGTGAAGCTTGCCTTTGTGAGGCTTAAATTCTATTACACTAAAGAATAAATATATAAGTAAATGATTTTAAGGTTGTAAGTGCTTTGCAAAAATACAACAAATCAGAATAAGGAGATGGGGGGGGAGGGTTTCTATTTTAAGTAGGATGATGAGGGTAGACACACTGAGAAAGTAATATATCTGAGGAAGGAAATGATGGAGGTAAGGGAGAAAGCCATCAGCCATGTGGAGAAAGAGCATTCCAGGTGAGAACAGCTAATTCAAAGGCATGTATGGATGTGTGCCTGGAGTGAAGGGACAAAGCCAGTGGCCAGTGAAACAATGAAGTCAGATAACACGGGATCTTGTAACAGGACATTAGAAAGATATTGGCCCTTACCTTGAGTGGCTTGGGAGCCACATAGGATTTTGAGAAGATAAATGACATGATATACCTTGCATGTTTAAAGTGTTAAACCCTTTAAACAGTAGACTTTAGAGAAGCCAGGGGAGAAGCTGAGATATCGGTTAGGAGTCTATCTGGTCAGACCTTGTGAGAGGCAGTGGTGCTTCAAACCAGGTGACTACAATGGAAGTGGTAGAATCTGGATATCAGCTGAAGATAAGCCAGTAGGACATGTTGATGGAAAAGGGGACGGAGTATGGAGTCAAGGACGGCTTCAGAATTTTGTCCTGAGCAACAATTGGAAGGACAGAACTGCTATCAAAAGAGACGGGCAGACTATGAGAAACATAAAACAGGAATTCACTTTTAAATATATTAAGTTTTAGAAATAGTATATAAAAGTTAAAGGATGTGTGGGATCATTGTCCAGTAAAATTTCTTAAGTTCCTTGCAGTTTAGAAATATATTATATATTTTCTCAAAACACCTATCTAAAAAACAAAAAAGAATTCTTATTGCCACTCTAAGCCAAAGAGTTATTTCTCTATCCACTTTAAGACCTACCATATTGTCAAATATAGTATTTGAGTGTCAAATCTTCATTAAAATAATAATAATAATAATAATAATAATAATAATAATAATAATAATAATGAACTACAGGGCTGGGGATGGTTGCTTAATGGCAGAGCTTAGCATATGCAAGACCCTATGGTTGCAATCCTCAGTGGAAGGAAGGAAGGAAGGAAGGAAGGAAGGAAGGAAGGAAGGAAGGAAGGAAGGGAGGGAGGGAGGGAGAGAAAGGAAGGAATCACAGGAAGCCCAATTACTAGTCAATCACAGGATTGACTAGTAATTGGGCTTCATGCCACAATATAATTCATGAGAGAAATATTCATGTGATCATAACTATTATAAAGAAGTAGTGGGGCTTGGTGGCACATACTGTAATGCCAGCACTCCTTCTGAGAGAGGAATATGGCAAGTTTGAGGCCAACCTGGGCAACTTAGTGAGAATCTATCTCAAAATAAAAAATAAAAAGGTCTAGGGATGTGGCTCAGTGGTAGAGTGCCCCTGTGTTCAATCCCCAACACCAGAAAAAATAAATAAATAAACCAACAATTTCATTTTAGGAGTCCTAGGTAACAAATAGAACGATTTCCCAGATTTCCATTCTTCACATAATTATCTAAACTTTATTATTAAACCATCATCATTATCATAAAACAATTACATATAATCCACTCTTGAACTTTAGCAGAGCTTGTCTCGTAAATTTACAAAGCTAGTTACAAAGGTAGACAAAATTTCTGCCCTTTGGAATCTAGCCATCTAGAAATCACAGCCTTGATTCACAAATAAAGAAGCCAGGGGCAGTTCCCGGGGCCTATACAGTCTGTGTTTACAAAGAGCTCTGTCCGTCAGCCTAATGGCCCACTACCACATGTATGCCTGAACATAAGGAGCTGCCTCCACCTTGGACTTAAGACTCGACTTAGTGAGGTCTCTGGCTGCTTTATCTGGCTCCCACTTCCAGGTATCTGGTCAGCTCAGCCAGAAGGAAGGCCCTACATCAGCACTCTTGGCACTCACACAGAAAGCATTCTGCAGGGTCTACTGGTTGTAAAATGAGAAACTGCTTGAAACTTTAAGTGGAAATTTTGTGATGGAAAAAAAAATAGCTTATGATTTGAAGGTGACTACAAATATGTCTATCTTAAAATAAATATCAGGAGTGTACAAAACCAGGATACTCTCTGCAAAGTTTTAGGAGGTCCAAAGACAGGAGATGTTCCAAACACCAAGCTAGAAGTCAAGACAGACAATACAGGTATAAATAAAAGCTGCTTCTGTTTTAACAAATGCCCAATTCGAACAAGATGATTGAATGACTGTCTAATTTAATCAAAATGACAGAAAACATTCCATAACATTAAATCAGAACCCACAATATAACCATAAAACAAGATACAAGATACTTATTTAAAACTGAGAATAGAGCTCAGTGGTAAAGCACTTGCCTAGCATATGTGAGACCTTGGGTTTGATCCCCAGAAAGAGGAAAAGAAGAAAAGGAGCAGGGGAGCTCTTCATTCAGTTTTAGGTAGGTTACTGTGATTCTACCTTGCCTAAAAGAAAGAAACATTTTGAAGAACATGTAAAAGGGAAAATCTAAAAGATGTCTGCATTCATGCTCTTCTTAGGCAAAAACAGAGCTCAAATGACTCCAACTTTAAAAGAACCTGGAGATCTATTAATTTTCAATCACAAAAGGTTCTGATTATCTTGGTTAGGGGATGGATATCTAGCTAGCAACAAAAGGTGCAAAAAAATGAAATTTAGTATTCATAGCATGCTTTTTAGTTCAATAGAGTATATATTCCCTTAGGAAAAAGGAAAAAAAAAACTTTAGGAATCTGCACCTTAGGGAATTGCAAATTTGGTAAGGTTTCTTTCAACTGTATAAATGTCCACTGCCTAAGAATTCAATGAAAATATTAAAACACATCCTTTTCTATGGATTTTTTCTTCTATTTTTATTATCCAAAATTCTCCAAGAAACATTTATTTCTTGAAATAACAAAAATAATTAAATGTCAGCTTTAAATTATCCTTTACAGACACAGAAGGTAATACTAAATAAATTAAAAAGCAATAAGTACTTTGGGAGGGATAAGAATATTCTCTTTTAAAATAATCATGTAGTGGGCACAGTTTATAATCCCAGGGGCTTGGGAGGCTGAGGCAGGAGGATCTTGAGTTCAAACAAATCCAATAACTACAATATACTTGATTTGTTCTTATAGAACAGGTAATTTTATTCCAGCTTAGCAAAAGTGAGGCACTAAGCAACTCAGTGAGACCCTGTCTCTAAATAAAATACAAAGTAGGGCCAGGGATGTGGCTCAGTGGTCGAGTGCCCCTGAGTTCAATCCACGGTACCCAAAAACAAACAAGTGAATGAATAAATAAATAAATAATGTAGCTAAAATCTGAGAATTGTTAAATATGGACCAAATAGATATTCAGACTAAAATTAAAGAAATTATTTTTTAAGAACAAATATGCAAATGTGAATTAAACTTAAGAATTCTTAGCAGGTACAGGATAAAACAGAATCTTAATGACTATATTTGCTGTCTATATATAATAAATAACCAAATATCAGGCACTATTCAGAGTTCTTTATTTCATATGATCCTCCCTAAAACTCCAAAAAGTGTTTTCCTGAGCTCCTAGAATAAACAAATCCAATAACTACAGTATACTTGATTTGTTCTTATAGAACAGGTAATTTTATTCCAGGCAATGCATTCATCAAAGATTTAAATGAAGGCATAGAACACCTGCTCATTAAGCTTGTGGGTGTATATGTATAGGAAAACATCAAGCTGTATGCCTTAAATATATACAATTTGATATGCCAATTATACTGCAATAAAGCTAGGGGGAAATCCTGTGGGTGATATAAAACTGAAAGAATTTTCAAATTGTGGGATGATAAGAGAAAGATCCAAAAATATCTTTGAGGAGTAGCATAGATGGGTTGAATCTATAATACGAAATTAAGTGAGTATCAATATTAAAAGACCAAACAAGCAACTATAATAACGTAGAATACAAGAAACATGTCTCGGCAAATTAGCGATTATACAGGTGAAAAAAAGATGCAGTGGGTTTAGTCTGACATTAGATACAATATTTTATAAGTAAATAAATAAAAATGAGTCTTTACTGGCAACCAGACCACTGGCAGAAAGAAAACAGCTAAATTCAGCAGATGTTGCCTCTGCCCTGTTAGAACATAAGTCAACCTAATTTTAAACGATCTTCATTGTTTTTCATTGGTTAATTGTCTTTAGGATTGGGAAGCAAAGGAGAGAAAGCACAAAGGAGAAGGGAACACAGCACTGTCACATGAGGAATACCTGTTTAAAAAAAGGAAAGGAAACCCAGGCAACATGATAAATTCATTGTCTTCAAGAAAAAGTTCTGTACTCAAGAACCAACTGGTAATGGCTTCAAGAAGTGGAATTTCAGCTCACCTGAAGCTTTTTTTTATTATTTTTCATTTTTTTTTGGCAGCGGGGGCAAGGGGATGATAACTAGGAATTGAACCCAGGGTCTCATGCATGCTAAGCAAGCACCCTACCACTGAACTATATCCCCAGCCCTCATCTGAAGCATTTTCTAATGAGCTACACAGAGATTAAATGGGTTGCCTCTGATGGTGGTTAAGTCTCTGTTCACTAGCGGAATCCAAGTATAGGTTGGATACTTATTAGGGCAAAATAGTTTAGAAAGACTCAATAATTCTATGGTATTTGCACAAAACGATCTTTGATTTTTCTTCCCAAATCTGAAATTTAGAGAGTTCTCAGGGAAGAGGTAGCATTTTAGTCAGAGAAAAAAAGAGAAGAAGGTTTGAGATATGTAATTGCCCAAGAAACAGAAGAAGGCAACTGTGATGGGGATATAAAAGATTCAGAAAATCAACCAAGGAGACATTTAGCAGGTTAAAATGTGAAGTAGATGCAACAGTGACAGGAGCTGGAGACACATCATTTTTTCACTCAGCAACTGCAATCTGCATAGCACTTGGTGACAGGGAGTGACCAAAAAAACCATTTTCTGCCTATATGAACCTATAAGGTGAATAAATCATTCAGGAATACACATACAGAGACGAATGACTGTTGTTCTTTCAGAGATGGAAAAGATTATAGTTCAGGGCCTTGTTTTGCAGATGATGTTCATACCTGAAAGAAACATATGCATAACATTCACATCCTTATAGACACAAAGAAAGAGGTGCTGCTGGCTTCAGATCACATAAATGAGGTAAGCATTCCATGCAGCAGGTGTATTGTCCAGAATTTTCAAGGAGAGTGAGATATTTGGTCTTAGAAAGGGTAGATAAATGGCAGGTGTGTTGAGTTAGTGGACAGAAGCTGCACTTTAATGTGAATATTCTTTAATGAGAATGTCTGTAAATGGTACAACTTTTAGACTTTTCCCCCAAGGCTTTTGAAAACAAGGCAGAGAGGGGAGATCGCAATATCTCATAGAATTTCTCAGCCTACCATTTTCTGAAGTAGCAGGCTGTAAGAATTCAAAATACTAAAAAATTCCTCAGTGGCCAGAAAGTTTATTTACTTTCTGTGAATGAGCCCTTTATTTTGACTCTGGCAGGTTTTTTCTTAGGATTAAGGCAATCATTTTACCCAGTCCCTTTGGCCCTCAGTGCATATGCACCATATTTACATTAGGAAGCAGATTCAACAAGAAGAGCATGTTCCACACAGTCCCCAGTCATAACAGCACTTACGAGTGCCACAGTGGAATAAATGGATGAGGCACGAAAAGAGCAGTGAGCATGGTAGGCAACCAAAGCAGAGAAAGAGAAAGCAACAAAGGAGAAAATCATGTCTCCCCCAGGTGGGGCAGTAACCACAGTAAGAAAACCATCAATCCAACCACACTCCCTATTTTATTGAGACCTTAAGGCCATTTTCAAGATACACTTCTTGTCCTCTAGGTGGGATTTTTGCAAGTAGTAGAATGCTTGATACCACTGGGATTTCTGAATATATCTTCAACCCAGTTTTTCTGTCCATAGCTATGAAATTCAGGCTTTTGCATCAACTTGTTTATTTATGTGCTGCTTTCATTCACTCAGGTATTCATTCAGGTACACTAAATGAGTATTTATAGACAATTTTATTACACACCAGTCATATTTCTAAGCCCTACAGAAAAATAAATAATGGAGGGACAGGTTTTCAAAGAATAGCAAAATACACAAATAACAAGAACTTTGATGAAACGTGTTCAGAACACGATTTAGGTTGAAGGTCAAGAAAAGTCTTTGCAGGGAAGTGATGCTTGAACTGAAGAGGAAAAGCCATCCAGAACCTAGACCTATGACAATGTGGATGGGATTCTCAGGTGGGAGGAAGAGCTGTGCAAGGGGCCTGGGCAGGGATGATCTCATCACGTCCACAAACAAGGCCAGTGTTGACATGTATGAGGTACCACAGGCTCTGCCATCAGAAATGATGTGAGGCAGGTGAAAACGGGCCTCTAGGAAAGGATTGGAAGCTAGGGTTTTATCCAAAGGAAGCCATTTGCTATTAAGCAGGAAAGAGCAGGAGAAAGACATGATAAGAATTACATTTATAAAGATCAGTTTCAATGATATACATTATTAGTGCATTTTGAAATATTATATGACATATGAAGGGTGCAAAGAGTGTAAAATGATGGGGAAGATTAGTCTAATGACCCAATTCTCTCCCCCCATCAAGAAGCTACTATCTTAGTTTAATTGGTTTCCTGGAATTACCTGACAAATCAAGGTAAACATACTTTATTTATTAGTAAACAACTATAACTTAGTAAGCTGAGAAGAGCTTAAATGTGATCTAATATGACATGCAATATGATAAAAAGGAGTAAGATATTTTATCATGTAAAAATGGATATACTTTATCCACAATTTGTTGCTAAATAGTAATTGCAGGTAGTCCTAACCTCTTGAGAAGCTGCAGGGAACAGGTGGTACATTATTCATCATTATTAAGTAAGCAGAGATAGAGAAAGGTATCCAGAGAACTTACTACAAGTATACAACTCAGGAAAAAATTCAGGTTGCACAATCAACTGTTTTTCAGATGCACCCACCAGGATACTCCAGAATGGGGATAGTTTAGGCAACACCAGGAGCATCATGTTTGTGCTTAGAAAATATTTTTTTATTTTATCTTTTTAGATATACATTATTAGTGCATTTTGACATATTATACAAACATGGAGTATAAATTATTCCAGTTAAGTTCCCATTCTTGTGGTTGAACATGGTGAGGAGTTACACTAGTCATGTATTCATATATGAACATAGGAAAGTTATGTCCAATTCATTCTACTGTTAGACAGTATTATTATTTGGAGATCAAACCAGAGCCTCAGGCACACCAAGCACACACTCTACCACCAAGCTGCACCCCTAATCCCCAAGATAATAAATTTTAACTGATTTTCAGATCTAGAAGATGGTGATGGAATCACCTTTTCTGGAATTAAGGGCATGGTGGTAACTACTGATTAGGGATTTTTACACGAGGAGGTGATTAAGTTCGTGTCTGAAAATATTACCCACTGTGTTTTTTCACCCAACTTTCAATTTCTACTGCAAATCCACAGGTTGTTACTTTGGTTTGTGTTTATTATGCCTAGAATGATAGCATACAGGACGATGAACTAGAAGTAGCTCACTTCATACGAGCTGGGTGGCCAGAAAATATGAATAGCTGCCTCTTTTCATAAACAGTTATGTTAAAAATCAGCGTATGTTCCAGGCTGGGGCAAAACCAGAGAGCATGTGAAGCCATTTTGCATGAGCATGTGGTACCACATCTGTACAGTGAAATCTCTGTGGAGTTTGGGAAGCCATCCCTTTTCTTTCACCAACTTACAGCACTAAGACACCACCAGGTGGCACCATGTCTTCTTATTTTTTTATGTTTTTCCTCTTTTTATTTCTTCATGAGGAAATTTCACAGAATATTAGCAATGAAAATAATTTCTGTTCTCTCAGATGCCTTAGTAGAATTGACAGTCTTAACATTACCTGAAGAAACATAAGCATGATCAACCGAATTTGGAAACACTGCTGGACTGCAGAATGTATGAGAATAAATCTAGATCTCACCTACCCACAAGGAAGTAAGGGGATTAATATTCTCTATATTTAATTCACACATGATTCTATGATATTTTCTCCAGAGATTCTCATCTCCATCTTCCTCCTTGCACTTAATTTTAATTAGTATTAGGGTACCCTCTGCATTCTGTTTAGCCCATAAACTGCCAAAATCCTCCTGCAGGTCCTTCTAAATGAACCTATTGCTAAAATCCTAATACAGGCTAAAAATTTCACAGAGATATTTTCAAATTATCTTCTTTTTTCCCTTTAGTCTATCATGCACATGGAGATGCAATTAATATTTTCAAACACTGCTTCATCATATCCTGTACTACCAAAGACTTTACATCACTTTCCAAATCATTTGGATTAAGACTCACTTTGGCATTGGATTCTTTCAATCCTTTGCCTAACCAACTATATCCTCTCCTGCTACCTAATATCAAAATCTCTTCCAATCAACCCACATGCCAATTATAATTCTAACTATTAGAGTGGGTTGTAGTTTGTTTTGTTGGTTGATTTGTTAATTGGCTGATTGGCTAATTGAGTGTTAATAAAGTATATCAACTAAGAATTGAGGATTCTGGGAAGGACATAATGGCACATGCCTTGAGCTCAGCTACTCGGGAGGCTGAGGTAGGAGTACTGTAAGTTTAAGGCCAGGCTTGGCAACTTAGCAAGATCCTGACTCAAAAAATAAAAAGCTTGGTGGAAGAGCATGTGCAGAAACCTGAGTTCAAACTCTAGTACCTAGAAAAAGAAAAAAAAAAGTGTGGATTCAGGAACCAGACTGCTACTATTAATACTCTAACTCTGCCATCCACTGGTTTTATAATTTAAAGTAAGAATCCCACCTGCTGTGCTTCAGTCCCCTCATTCATGAAACAGAGACCATAATGGTACATGGACTTGGTGTTGTCGTGAGGGTTAAAGGAGTTAATAGATGTGAAGCTCTTGAAGCAGTGTCTGGCCAGGGTGCTCATTTTGTGTCACCCATGAGTCCTGCCCTGCTTCCTTCTCCTCTCATCACCCCAATTCAACACCCAAGCAACTTACCATGATGCCAAGCTCAAGAAATGTGGACTGAAACCTGAATCCATTCTCTTTAGATTGACTAAGCCTTTCCCTTTTACTGAAAGATGGAGCTTCATAATGCCAAGTTTAAAGTCCCAACTTCCTCCATAGCTTCCTCTCCAATTTTCTGAACTAGCATCACATTTTTCTCTTATATTTATCATGCACACAAGTGTGCATGTGTTTAGTTTTTTTAGTGAGTGCTATCAGTCTTTTAACTGACTTTCCAACTCTAGACTTTAACCTTCTCAGGGCAAAAATCATGATAGATGCCACAAAAAGGGCAAAAGAGACAGATTGTGCCCTCAAAAATCTCTACCTTCATAGAAGGAAACGAGACATAAGGAGAGTTGTTGCAGTTCATATGCTCTCCATACAGGCAAGTTCCACAGCCATGAATTCAACGAACTGCAGATGAAAAATATTTTTAATTAATTTTTTTTATTT